GGGGGGGTGACGCGGGCTAACCTAGCAACTCTGGTACTTACCTGGTTTACACTGTTTGGAAAATGTTGGAAATGAAATTTCGTGGGCAGTAATTTCATACGACGTAGACACGTTTTTTAGGGGAATGACATTTTACACTTGAGGGGGTCCCTTCATTTTTTTTGACACGTTCGGAGTTTTGCGTTGAGATTTTGTCGACAGGAATTGTAGTCTTCACGGTGTAATTACAAGATGTACATGGTGAATTAAAATGTAACAGACTGAGGATATATTATGGAATCTGAATTTCAAAGTGGATAATGGATAGTGGGAACTTGTGAACTCTCGAATTGTTGTGGGGAATTCGACAGGTGTAATTTAAACATGTGGAGCTCATGAAAGACTTGGGCCGAAAATCCGTTTTTCGGAAATTGCAGGGACTTGAGTTTTACGTGTTCAATCGAGCACTGTAAACTGAACATTTAGAAGTTGCAATTGTATGATGTGTAGTTGGGATTGGGTCTTGAGAATGTTTGATTTGTGGTGTGCAATTTGACAGGTGTAACTTGAACATGTGGAATTCACGAAAATCAAAATCTGGAAATCCGAGTTTTATTTGGTGTTTCTCTTGAATTTCACGTACGTGAATTTTTCACGTGAGTGGAGCATAATAAATTGAGTATTTGCAATCTGCGCTGATTTGCAAGAAAAAAAACAAACAAGTTGCAACAAATCAAGCTCAAGTTCTATAAATTATGTGTGTTCTTGAATTTTTCACGTAAGTGGAACGCATTAAATTGAACATTTGCAATTTGAGTTAATTTGCAAGAAAAATAAATAAAAAACAAGATGCAACAAATCATGCTCGAGAGTTCCATGAATTTTGTATGTTCTTGAATTTCTCTTACTTGAATATTCCACGTGAATGGAGCACATTAAATTGAACATTCGCAATTTGAGATAATTTGCAAGAAAAAAAAAACAAAAATAAGATACAATTTCTCGGGCCTGAGTTTTATAATTTTATATTTTCTTGAATTTCACATACTTAAATTTTCCACGTGAATGGAACACATTAAATTGAGCATTTGCAATTTGAGCTAATTCACTGAGCTAATTTACAAAAAAAAGAAACAAAAAAAAGATGCAACAACGCTGACCCGAGTTTTATGAATTTTGAGTTTTCACGGATTTCATATACTTGAATTTTCCACGTGAATGGAGCACAATAAATTACATATTTGCAATTAGAGTTAATTTGCAAAAAAAACAAAAGATGCTACAAATCATGCTTGAGAGTTCTATGAATTTTGTGTGTTCTTGAATTTCACTTACTTGAATATTCTACGTGAATGGAGCGCAATAAATTGAATATTTGCAATTTGAGTTAATTTCCAAAAAAAACAAGATGCAACAAATCAAGCTCGAGTTCTATGTATCTTGTGTGTTCTTGAATTTTACATATTTGAATTTTCCATGTGAATGGAGCACAATAAATTGAACAACAACAACAAGATACAACACCTCGGGCCCGAGTTTTATGAATTTTGTGTTTTCTTTAATTGCACATACTTGAATTCTCCATGTGAATGGACCAGAATGAAATCAAGTTGAAACTAGCGAAAGATTCTTTTAGGTGTGTTCATTCAAGTATTTTTGAGTCATGTACTTACTTGGTCGCACTTGAAAAACATTTATACATATAATTGTTTGACCCTCGCAGTCTTAGAAATCCCCTGAAGTAAATCTTCAGCTGGTGAATACTTTGCTAGCTTCAGCTTCATCACAATAAATGGGACATTTGCAGTTTGAGTTCATTTGCAAGAAAAAAACACAAAATACAACACTTCGAGTCCGGGTTTTTAAAATTTTGTGTTTTCTTGAATTTCACATACTTTTATTTTCCACGTGAATGGGTAAGATAGATATAATACCTCGGGCCCGAATTCCATAAATTTTGTATGTTTTCATGAATTGCACATACTGGAAGTTTCTACGTGAATGGAGTAAATTAAATTGAACATTCACAATTTGAGTTAATTTGCAAGAAAAAAAAAACAAAAACAAGATGCAACACCTCGGCCTGAGTTTGATAAATTATATGTTTTTTTGGATGGCGCATATTTGAATTTTCCACGTGAATGAAGCACGTTAAATTGAACATTCGCAATTTGAGTCAATTTGCAAGAAAAAAAAACAAGATACAACGCCTCGGGCCCGAATTTCCTGAATTTTGTGTGTTTTCTTGAATTCCACATACTTGAATTTTCCACGTGCATTGAGCACAATAAATTAAACATTTGCAAGTTTAACTTGTAAAATGTAGGCTAGGAAAAATATACTACAATTTCTAGAACCAAATAAATGTCGTTAGCTGTATAGAAGACTAACGTAAGTGCCAAAAAATGTCCTCATACCAGAAGTTTTGAATTTTTAATTCCAGTTCCCATATTTGTTTCTTGTTTCTCTTTTTCTATTGAATTCTCGTATTTTGGCGCTTACGCTACTTTTCTCTACAGCTAACGATATGTATACAGTGCAAGTACAATGCGGGGTTTACAATTTCTGTGGACAAGATCTCAACGCAAACGATCACACGCACCAAAAAGTAAAGGAACTCCACTGTGTCCAACAGGTCATTTCCCATTAACGAAAAATTGAAAAATATATTCGCCTGAATTTTTTGGTTGCTATCAATTTTCACATAAAATATTCACCTGAAATTCACTGTTCCATCAATTCACCCTAAAATGGTGAATTCTTAATGACGAAGTGCCCTGAAATTTCACTAGAACTGTCACTTGATTTAAATTTCCAACAGTGTACTAGAATAACACGCACGTTTTTTGCTCCATCGTCAGAGACTCATGATGTTAGGCTCATTTTCTTCATTTATTTCGTGGGTTAATATCGAGAGAATATGTGGGCATTTAAATTTCTGACAGATTTCGATTCCGCCACTTGGTCGAGCACTTGAAATGGCAGATTAATAGCGCAACGGTAACTTACTCGGCGGAATTCTTCAGTTTATGGGAGATTTGTTGTGGGAGGTACATGTCGAGCGAGGGTAATCGGGATTATCATTCGATATTTCTGTAACATTTTTCCCGGGAGTGGTGTAAAAGTCAAGCGAGGTCTCACTAGTGACGTATTTATTCGATAGAATATAGAATGTATCGTGGATATCGCACATGTAACTGTTTTATTGAAATTCGAGAACCGCCGGGATCTGTTGAGGAGTTATTCTCTGTTAGGATGTATTCCTCTGGGTATTATGTCTCCCCCCCATTCATTACATAGTTATTGTATTATAGATTTTGTAGCGCATGATGGATGTATACAGCATTTTGAAAGTTTATTTAAACAACATTACTGCTCGCATGGAGCTACGCACTAACTGTTTACTCTTCTTCCAACTACATTTATCACCCAAGAAGCTACTTTAATATAATTAACACCGGATAATTACTGTACACGGGGATTTATGTGTAAAAATTAATTTTTTATTAGTATTCAATGCGAGTTTTTCAGTGAAAATACAGTATTTCGGGGTAATTCACTCATCGGGGGTTCAATAACATCAGTGAATTGTAGATACAGTTTTGGTTTTCTCAAATTCATCTGGGAGATTGATAAAAATTAATGTCTCTGCGATTTGCACTTCATCATCATCGCAATAACGAAAAATAAAATTTCACGAAGAAAATTGAGTGAGAAAATAAATTCTCAAGATTTGAAACAAACATAGTACTTGATTTTAAAATCGTAAAAATGTGATACATGTAGTGGGTATGGCGCCTCTAATGATGCACCATGCTTATACAAACTTCGGGGGAGGCAGTGGTAACTTACAACAAATGCAGGGCCCGCCGCAACAACTACACCTGCAACAGCATCAGATGCAGCATTGGAACAACAGTACTACCCAAAGAAGAAGTAAATATTAATTGACAAAAAGAAAAGAGAGAGAGAGAAAAAAAAACAATTGAGAAAGAATTAAATTTGATTGAATTCGAGTCTGAGCGCAAGAATTTCACCTCAAACGCTGTTTGTCAATCAGATGAATCAGACGTTCTCCCATTGTGTCACCGTTACCATTCTTGTTCACCAGAAAAATTTGATTACAATTCGTTTTTCATTCTCGTTGAGATGATTGACTTGAGGGGGCGAGATGAGACTCAAATTATTTGGAAATCCATTCCTCATTCGAATCACAATTTCGTGGACAATTGATCGTCTCACGTAATTAAATAATTAACAGACATGCGGCAAACACGCAGAGCTGAGATTTTTTGAATAACCAGTTATCATTCAGGGGTGGATCTGCCAGAGTTTAGAGATTCTCAGCGTTGTGGTTATTGTTGATACATTGGTTAGGCATAAATGAAATTATAGTGGCCCTGGTCGTCGGCAAGGTCTTGTAGTAAGTTACTTCAGCGCGTCCGTAAGATCATCTACATCTTCGATGGAAAAAAAAAAAACTAAACGTTGCATAATTTTTTTTTACATTTTAGAGAAGTTTATACCCTTCTATGTGTAGATTTGTTATTTTCCTCTTACACGGCACGACGAATTGTAGAGTTTTTTTTAAACATTATTTTCATTCATTATTCATATATTTTTTGTTGAAAAGATTATTAGTATTTACGTGTTTGTTGAATTCATGGCTCGGATTTTAATAGTCCCGTAGACGACAGAATTCGTCCAACTGTTTGATTTCTACGCATGACTCTTTACAGTTTGCCTATCGTAGCTTTGCCGCTTTTTACAAGAAAATAGTTTAGCACGACTTGTCTCACAGAGTACCTGACAGTTAAAAAATGGACAATTTTGGGTTTTTCTTTTTTTTTAGAAAGTAAAGGATGTTAAATTGCTGTAGTTGTTAAGTTCCCTTCAGTTTTGCTCGTGCGGTGTATGTCTCATGTCTTATTTATTTTTGGGTATTTGTTTGTCTATATTCTTTTATTTACGAGTAGAATCTGTAAATATGTATTCATCGTTGCTACATCTCTCGTATTTTTATCAAAATATTTATCGATAATTGTGATTATCAGGCAGTTCGATCACTCGAATGCCTAAAATTCACACCCGTCAAGTAAACATTTAAATTTAAATGATTTCAAGCCTTTTAGATACTGAACAGTATAATTTATTCTTAAACAAAAAGCTATGGTGACGGTACTAACCCTACCCTCATTAAATGACTAATTTAATATCGGTGGTCTTTTGGTACATCATTAATTTATCCACAATACATTAAACTCTCGTCAAGTCGTGGAACACTTGAGATTACAAAAATACTGATTCATTTATTTGTTAAATTTTCACTCTCGTAGATTACATAACAAACACAGATATGTTTGATCTTGAAAATGACCTCCCCGACGATCTACTATCATCGGGGTCCTGGGGTTCTGCAACGGAGAGCGCTAAACCACCAGCAACAGGTCCAGGACCCGGGCAACAGAATGGAGCACTCGACTCGGAACTCCGTCAGCATGTACAGCAACAGCAACAATTATCCCATCATCTTATTCAGCAACAGGTAAAGGTCTCATTCGAATTTTTTTTCAATCATCCCCATTGAGGGGAAACCGACCCTTGTGTGTGTATAAACTTTTATAATTGTGTTTTATCCTATAATTATTATTTTTTATCTATGAAACTACATTATCCACTCGATCATTGTATTGTTAAGTGAATTAAGTGGTTTCATAAATAAAAAATAATAGGGGAGAGTGGGGCCAAATGAAGCGCCAAAAAAACGACTGTTTGGCGCAATTTGAGCGAAAAAAAAATGTTTATCAAATTTTTTTTCATTAACTTTTTTTATTCTTGGAAGTACTGAAGAGAATAGTAATTTTTCATTCAGTAGAATGGGGAATTATTGAAAAGAAAATGAAACAGCAAAATCCAAAGTGCAGAGCAAGGCTCGGGGAGAGCAAACCCAGAGACCCAGAGGGGGAAAAAGGAAAACGTGATGCTGAATTTTAATCGAATAATCCATTGACAAAACCTTTTTTCATCAAAACTTCTCAATAATTTTCCATTCTGCTGAATAGAAAATTATTATTCTCATCGGTATTCCCAAGAATAAAAAAAAGTTGACAAAGGAAAATTAATAAATTTTTTTTTTTTGCTTGAATTGCGTCAAACAGTCGTTTTTTTTGACTGTTTCATTTTGCCCCGCTGTTTCATTTTGCACCACTCTCCCCTAATGGCAGGAGAACACACAATTCTAACAGTTCATATAGATACAGGCGTTCCGTATCCCCTTAATCCAAGGAAATTTAATTTCACATGAATTAACTGAATGTCTTTGTCTCTTTAAATTACAGGGGAATAAAAATTTAGTACCGAATTCACTAGTTATGACTGGTAATTTGACCAGTAAAAGTCCGAATATGCAGTCACCACCGAATGTATCAGTCTCCAAGGGAGTGGTGGATCAACAGATGGTTGTTAATCTGGGAAATTTGCCCAGTAGTATAGCGAGCTCACTGGCTAACAATCAGATGTCGATTGTCAATTCGATGGGTAATCTTCAGTCGTCGATGAGTATGGCCGGCAGTAATCCAGCAATGTCAATGCCAGGAGGCATGAATGCTAGTTTAGTTATGACGAGTAGTGCAACGGGCAACAATCCCATGGGTGGAATGGCTGGTGGAGGACTCATTGTGGCTAATAGTTTGAATAAACAGCCTCTAAATACAGTAAGTTGAGCCTCAATTAGGGACGAATGATATATTTCAAGTTTTGCAAGATTACATTTTTGTCAACCAGGTTTCTCTCATAGACAGCAATAGTGTAGAATAATGAATGATTTTTTAATTTTGATCGGTGCAATTTGTTGACGATAAAAATGCGCAAACATTTGTGAATTTTTTATTTTTATATTGTTGGATTATGAATTTCTTCGATGTAATATTTTGCAAACCTGGAGTGAAAGTTTTTTGAAGTTATTTCTCCTTTGAAAGTAGGTTTTGCAGGGGGAAGGGTTTAAATTGATAGTAAAATGATGGAACATGAGTTTGTTCTTTAGGTTTCGTTGAATATTTTATCATCTCGATAATGCAGGATTTGGGGAAAGGGTCAGGAGAACATTTTCTTGAAAATTCAGGCTTATTCTCTTATAGTCATTGATAACCAAAATGATTCAATATTTGACGAGATCTGAAGAATTGATCCATTAGAGTTGCGCCCCTTGTTACTCGAAGAAATATTCTCACTTTTTTCATTAAGAAGCTACGCAGCTTACCATCGGAGTAGAAATTGGATTTCAAGTTTTTTCATCATCAGACGATTCAGTAAAATCCAAATTTTTATACTATAGATACCAAGATTATTGATGATATAAGAATTTGGGTTTTTCTAAATAGTCGTTTGACGACAAAAAATCTTGGAATCCAGTTTCTATTACGATGATATGTTCTATTGCATCTTAATCCATTGAAAATATTTGAATGATGAAAGAACTTCTTCAATAGAAATCATTGAGGAGAAATGAATCTTGTTTTACCACAAAACATTGAAATAATGTGATTAGTTACATTTCTTTAAGCGTTCACGAATTTTTAATTTTGGTGTAGTAGGATAATGGGATATTTTGAATGAAAATTTAGCCATGCATATAAATTTAAGAATGAATATTTTGCAAACTATAATGAAACTTTTTGCAATTTATTTCTTCATTAGCAGTATATTTTTCAATTTGAAAGGGTTTGAGTTGTGTTATTAAAATGATGGATCATAATGAGTTCGTTCTTCACATTCCGTTCAATATTTAATTATTGTAATAATGCAGAATTTTAAGAGAAAAAAGAAGTCAGAAGAGATTTTGTTGAAACTTTTTCCTTCTTCTAAAACCACTAATTGTCAAAATAATGTAATATTTAACAAGATGAGAAAAATTGATTTATTAAAGGTGATCCCTTGGCAACTTGAAAAAACCTTTTGACTTTTTGTTAGTCGATACAAAATACTTGAGTAATGAAATAAATTCTTCGAAAAAAAATCATTGACAAGAAATGAATATCGTGTTAACAAAAACCGTTAAAACAATATAATCAATTACATAAATTTCAGTCTAAATATTTTGTAATCTGGCTATGAAACTTTTTTGAATTCCCAAATTTATCAAGTTTACTCTGAAAGTATATTCACCTTAAAGAGTAGAATTTAGTGAAATGTTCGATCATGATTAGTCAATTATCCATAAAAAGATGCCAAAAAATTTTTTTCTGCAATTTATCTACTCAATCTACTCATAACCAATATCATTCCATACCCAACAAGCTGGGGGAAAATGGGTTGATCACTGGTCCGCTACTCGAAGAAATATTTGACTCCTGAAGGAGCTTGGAAAAAAATCCATAACTAAGATTAATTTCATCATTGCAATAACAAACCATTGAACCAATGTAATTAATCCCCAGGTAACGATGATGAACCCGAACTCGCAAGGAGTCCATCATCCCCAAGGTCCCCACGGTGTCCCCATGCAGAATGGCCCAGCAATCCTGAACGCCCGTGCTGTAGCAATGCAGCAACAACAGCAGGCACAAGCCCAGGCTCAGGCCCAAGCCCAAGCCCAGGCGCAAGCACAAGCCCAAGCCCAGGCCCAACAGCAGGCCCACCTGGTGGGGCAGGCAAGAGGCCAGAGTCCCCACCAAGTCCATCAAGGAGGCATTGTCGGTCCAGGCCAGGGTGGCCCAAGGATGCAGCCACCCCCCAACATGTCGAACATGGCCAACATGGGACAAATGGCTGGCAATAGTCCCTACGGTTATGGTAAGTACAGTAAAACTGCTCTACCCGTTGGGGCGGTATCTAGAGGTCTGCTTCCACCCGGTACAGGTTCACCGGGAAGTGGCCTAGGTACCGGTGTCAATGTACCAGCTGTGAATCCTGTCTGCGTAGTTACCCCACTACAAAGAGGCGTTGGCAACATGGCATCCATGCAGGGAAGATTCAGTGCTCCTGGTGGTCCCATTGGTGCTGGCAATGTCATTGGTGGCCAAGAGGGTGGAATGGCCCAACAGGCACAACCACCAGCACCTAGTCCAGCTCAACCTCAATCTGGTGCTCCAACTGGTGGCCAACCAGGCCCTCAACAAGCCACACAGGGACAAATGGCTGGTGGCAGCACGCAGTCAGGTAAGTCATGACTTTTAATCACCAGAAGCATTATTAAAGTGGTATGGTCGTATCGCCACAAGAATTATTGAGTATTTACAAAACATAAGATGGTATTTTGAGGAACATTGGTTTTAATTTTGTTATTTTCTTGAATTTATCATTTTTGTTGCATTAATTCAGTGAACTGCTCAATCGGTTCAAGTCGACTTAGTTCCCAATTGAGTTTTTGTTAAATAACTCGGAATTTAAGAAAGAACGCGAAAGTTTTCGAAAATATTTTTTGATAGTTTTCACTTTTCTTTACAAAAACGATTTTTAGAAAAATTTTGCTAACTTCTTTAGAATTTTAGATATTCATCGAGAACTGGTGCTAGAATGGAATTGACTTAAACCGTTTGACCACTTCACTACTGAATTTTTAAATATTTGTCTTTTTTGTCATTTATCAAAATTAAATCATTACAATAGCTTTCGAAATTCTTCAATTTCTGTTCAAAAAGATGTTCATAAGCATCTTTGTAATTAGGGATGTTGCAAAATCGTAAGCACTGAAACAAATTTCCTTCTTCCAAATTATAAACAGTGTGATCTCCATAATGTTGATAAAAATAATAATCCATCAACTCGAGTTGATTATTCAAAACCAAAATGGACAATATGCACAATATTGTTGATATTTTGTGAGTCTTCCAGTAGGTGAATTATCAATTGAATTGTCAATTAAAATTCCATGGGACCATTTTTTTATTTCTCTTTGTCAAAGCTACTGCCCCTAATTCTAGTTGATTATCAGAAATTTTGGTTCCATATTATCCCCATGAAAAAAATTTTATTGTTGAGAAATGGATAAAAATCCTCAAGAAATGTAAATTTTCACTCAATAATAACAATGGCGTGACGACTATACTACTTTAAACCCCTGCCCCTCAACCCCCATAAAAAAGAATTCTTAATGGCACGTAACTCAGGTACACCATCATCCACTGCCGATCCAGAGCACCGAAAACTCATTCAACAGCAACTTGTATTACTACTGCACGCACACAAGTGCCAGATAAGAGAGCGTCAGTCAAACGGTGAAACATGGAGATGTACATTGCCCCATTGTAAAACCATGAAAAACGTATTGAACCACATGACAACGTGTAACGATGGTAAAGAGTGTCAAGTGCCCCACTGCAGTTCCTCGAGACAGATAATAACCCACTGGAAGCAGTGCCAGAGGAGTGATTGTCCAGTTTGTCTGCCCCTCAAACAAGCTGACAAGAACAAAACAACAGCTGCTAATAATCGTGCAGCAGCAGTGGCAGCAGCAGCTGGAAATCAACAGCAGGAGCAACAACAGCCACAGCCACCCCAGCAACAGCAGCAACAACAGCCACAGCAACAACAGCCAAATCCAAGTCCACAAGACATGAGAAGAGCCTACGACGCACTAGGGATGCAGTGTCCCACGACGACACCTGGTATAATGCCAGGTCAAGTTGCAGGTCGTGGTGTTAGAATGCCAGGACCTGGAATGACTGGACCCACTGGGACCATGACAACGGGAGCCAGACTCTCCCAGCCTCAGCAACAAAATCCACCAGGACAATCGATTGTTGGTGCTAATCAGCAGGTTGTTGCACCTAATGTATCACTTCCATTGAGCTCAGATCCAACGACAGTGTCGTCAGGTGCTGGTAACAATCAGCCTGTCACAACGACAGGACAAACTGGGGCAGCAGCAGCTGCAGCAGCAAATATTCAGCAATCTGTCAGCAGTATGCAACAATTATTCGGTTTAAACGATTCCGGACAGCCTGCATTATTGAATGAAAACAGATTATCAAATCTTCAATTACCAGGTGGATTGCAGCCCAATCAGGTGACAGCAACACCTGTACAGGGGACCAAAGAGTGGCATCAGTCAGTTACTCCAGATCTCAGGAATCATCTTGTCCATAAACTTGTGCAAGCGATATTTCCAGCCCCCGATCCCCAAGCTATGTTTGACAAGAGATTACACAATCTCGTTGCTTATGCGAGAAAAGTTGAGGGTGATATGTATGAAATGGCTAACTCAAGGTCTGAGTATTATCACCTACTAGCCGAGAAGATCTACAAAATTCAGAAGGAACTCGAGGAAAAGAGACAGAAACGTAAGGAACAGCAGTTGGCACAGCAACAGCACCAGCCAGCATCACAAAATTCAGCTGGTGGTAATTTGAGGCCATGCGCACCACCAGCAGTGAGTGCAGCTGTGCAACCAGGACCAAGAGCTGTACCACCAAATCTGCGAAGTCATTCACCAGGCATGGGACAGCTCAGTACACTACCAGGAATGACAATGTCCCACAATAGAATGACGTTTAATCAGCCACCGCAGTCTCAGGCTCAATCCCAACAGAATCAGTCACAACTCCAACAACAACAACAGCAGCAGCAGCAGCAGCAATCTAGCATGCTTGTGGGACCACCAGGACCGAGTCCCAATGGCCAGCCAACCTCCAATCCCAATCTGGTATCCAATCCCGGTCTTGTTCCATTTGGACAGCAACAGATGTCCCAAGGAAACTTAACGACAACGACATCGTCTGCAACTACTAGTCAATTTCCAACGTCAAATGGTACAACAGGCCTTCCCAACAGTTCTCCAGTTCAAAGTCAACATCAATTTCCGGATCTTATGAAGGCAAGATTGGCGGCCCAGCAGCAGGCACAGGCACAGGCCCAAGCACAAACTCAAGCGTCTCAGCAATCAACAAATGCCCAAACCCCAAATACCAATATACCGTCGATTCCCCAGGCACCATCGCCCTTCAGCAATATGCAACAGCAGAACAATCAACAGACGAATCAACAATTTGCTAATACTCGACCACTGTCAGCATCTACGCCCAGTGATAATGGCATATCTGTTGCAACACCACAGACGATACCACCACCAGCCTCGAGTGGACCCAGTCCTGGGCCCGCTCCAACGACAAATGGCCCTCAGTCTGTCACATCAACACCCACAACACCACTCGTTCCATCTCTGATGACACCCAATCAGACTGGTGCTTCGTCGAGTCAAACTCCCCCTCATCCGGGCACAACACCTTCACCTGGGGGGCTTGCCAGCCTCGGTAAGGGCATGACTTCTCAGGAGAGAGCTGCGTTGAATGCTGGGAGAAGTTCATCCATGTCATCCCAAATGGCAGCAATAACAGCAGCTCTTGATCGTGATAATTCACCGAGTCCACCGACTAATAATAACAAGGGCAAGGGGCTTGATTCTATTAAAGAGGAGAATATCAAGATGGAGATTAAGCAGGAGGACTGCTCGGAGAATCATACGATAGATGGGGGTAAAAATGTAAATAATGATGTGACGATAAAGACGGAAATTAAGACAGAACCCATGGAGGAGACCAGTGGTGATGGGACGATCAAGGAGGAGCCTGTTGGGATTAAGGAGGAACCGAGGACGCCTATGTCAGTGGCTGATGGCTCAACTTCGGATATAAAGCCTGTTGTACCTGTGCCCATAGAACCCAGTGGCACTTCCACGGATAAAAGACGCTTGTGTTTGTTTAAACCTGATGAACTGCGTCAGGCACTCATGCCAACGCTTGAGAAATTGTACAGGCAGGATCCTGAGTCGATACCATTCAGACAACCAGTTGATCCTCATGCACTTGGCATTCCTGATTACTTCGATATTGTCAAGAAACCCATGGATCTGTCGACAATCAAGAGGAAATTAGATACGGGGCAGTACAGCGATCCCTGGGAGTACGTTGACGATGTCTGGATGATGTTCGATAATGCTTGGCTGTACAATCGAAAAACTTCACGCGTTTACAAATATTGTACTAAGGTATGTTGGTAATTTTTGGGGATTTTTTTTTCCCTCGATGTTTGGTTTTAATTTAATTGTGATGGGGTTTTTGTTTGCTCTTTGTAGCTGTCGGAGGTTTTCGAGACCGAGATTGATCCTGTGATGCAGGCACTTGGGTACTGCTGTGGGAGAAAGTATACGTTCAATCCTCAGGTGCTTTGTTGCTATGGAAAGCAACTTTGCACGATACCGAGGGATGCCAAGTACTACTCTTACAAGAATAGGTCAGTTGATTTTGGGATTTTCAGGTTTTTCAAGGGGGTTTTAGTTTTCGTCGTGGATGGGGAGGTTATTAGGTTGTAAAGCTGGGAATCAACTATTGCGTTTATTTGTTCAGAATTAATGATTCAGTTTGAGGGAATTTTAAATTTATTAAAAATTGTGTGAGGGGGAGGAGCAAGATAACGAGGCGATTTTGTTTTCATTTCACTAAGTACAAAATCATCTCGATATCAATTAAGTATGGAACAAAATGTCATGAAAATTTGTATTCAGAATTTCAACAATAAGAAAAAATGTATTTTGACATTTCTCCTTCAATTGACTGGTTTTAATGCGGATTACGTACTTAACAAAAATAATTTTTTTGCTTATTAAAATAAGATTCTTGGAAATAGAATGGACAGCTGGGTGGAAACATTGAAAAAAAATGATCAGAATCATGATTATCTGAATTTTTGTAAGGAAGTAGAAAAAGATAGAGAGAAAGTTTCTTACATTTTACTAACTTTCTTACATTTTACTAGACATGTAAAATTTCTTACATTTACTAAACATGGAATTATCTTGATATCAAGTCATTTTGGGACATAATGTTTGGGACATGATTTCATAAACAACTAAAAAAATTATTTAGAGATTTCTCTCTTAATAGACTGCTTCTCACAAAGATTAGATACTTAACGAAAATTCCATTTTTGACGTATTATCACTTATTTATTGCTTTTCGACTGGATTAAAAGTCCGATTCCTTGAAATTGATTCGACAGTTGACTAACAACACTGAAAGAATTGAAAAACGAAAAAAATCAGAGCCATGATTAATTTAATTTTAAAAAATGCTCTTATAGATTGAAAGAATTTCATCGGTTGACGTCATAAATTTCATGTCTTCAATTTAACCAAATGCATAACTGTAATTCCCATCAATATTTAAGGAAATCCAAGCACCACTTCCACATCTGAGAGTTTTTAAACATCAAATTTTTCAATTAAATTTCTGACAAACGTTTTCTTTCTGAACTTCCAAAAACTTTATTTTTTCTCAATAGAATAATTTCCTAAGAACATTCTAAATACAGATATCTTCACTATGAAACTGAAAAAATTTTTTTTCAAAAAGATTCTTTTTTATTGAAAAATCAATTATTCATGACTTAACTTTTCAATAATTTTATAAATCTGCCTCAAGAGCTAGACTTTCTAAAATTCTTCAAATTTTTTAATTAAAAATCTCAATTTTTTTCAACAGCTCAAAAGTTATAAAATTGGGCTCGAATGGAAGATTTGATGTTCCTAAGCGTTAAAACAAATTTGAACGAAAAGAAAATAGTGGAAATACTTGAATATCCTCAATCATATTACTCAAGGATGTACTACACCCTTTTGGCCAAAATTCAGGTTTTTTTTTCATTTTTCTGGCAAATTATTGATCGGATTGACGTGAAATAATATACCGTTTTTGGGTTTTATCATTATTGACTGACTCACAAAGTTGTATGGTAGTGCAATAATTTTCCTGCATTTTTTCAAGTTTTGTGAATTTCTGAAAAGTTTTAGAAAAAACGCAGGGAAATGATTGCACGATCATGAAATTTCGTGAGTCAAATCAATTAAGTAATGATAAAATGCCAAAAGGGTATATTTTTTCACGTCAATCAGATCAACCATTTACCAGAAAAATTCAAAAAACGCAAATTTTGGCGAAATGGGTGTAATACATCCTTAAAAAATATTTTTCATCTAGGATGCATTAAACTTCGGCGACACTCCATGCATGGTCCCATCTTCACCACAGTGCCTTCAATCATAAAAAAACCTGTCGCCTTCTTCATCCTTTTTTGCTACGTTAGATGATTTAGTTATTGCAATTTCCTTCATTTTTTGTGGTGCGCAGTTGGATTTATGTTAGTTTTTCACAATCCTAGAAATTGACACCCCAACTACGCAATAATAACGACAGGCTAATTAGCCTTTTTCAGTGAAAAATACTGATTGAGGTCAGTCTCCTGAGCGACATTCATCACTACATTCCATAGATAATTTTTATTTTTATCCCTGCTTTTTTTTGGTATACTTATTCTAACGCTTGCACTTATTCTTCTTTATATGTTACCTACATTCTGAACCTGGAAACCGCACAAACACACGCAAATTCCTGCTTTGTCGCTTGGTCCCTGCTGTTCCTCGCTTATTCCAAATTTATCATCGAACAAAAAAAATCAAAAAAACATTTGGGCATTTGGAACACTTGGACATTCACTGACATCAACAAATTGGCAAAAAAAATAATGAAAAAATTTGTACACATTACGAACATACCACGTGTTCGATGTCATCATCGATTGGAACCAAAATCAATAAAAATCACCGAACGGACTGAACTGATGGTCATTAATAAAATAAAACTTGATGAATTATGTTGGAAAAAATAGTATAAAGGGATATGGTTCTCTTTCCGACAGATACACCTTCTGTCAAAAATGTTTCAACGACATTCCTGGTGACACTGTGACGTTGGGCGAAGATCCGACCCAGCCGCAGACGTAAGTACCTTCATTTATCGATAATTGCCCGATCCATCGAAATCGCCTGTGTATTTTACATGAGTGCATTATTCAATTTGCAGACAAATTAAAAAGGAGCAGTTCCAAGAGATGAAGAACGATCACTTGGAATTGGAGCCATTCGTTCTTTGTATAGACTGTGGAAGAAAAGTTCACCAAATTTGCGTACTTCATTTGGAGCACATATGGCCTCAAGGGTAAGTAAAGCATTGTAAACAAGTGGATACTTACATTGTTCATAAATAAAGGTGGCTATTGTTGCTGCGGAATAGGCCTTTTCATTCTGGAAATCTAGAGGAAATATTTATTCCGTTCGTCAAACTGGAAAATATCTGGAAAAATAGTGAAAAATTCGGATAACTGTTGGCATTTAAGATGATATATATTTCAGCCTTCAGAAATGATGATTTACATGTCAATTCGAAAAAACTGTCCAAAATTGCAGGCGGCTGTATCCTTGATACAGCTGTAATTGTACGTGCATACGTCCATGGTCTTTCCTTCTTTCTCGAATTTCCTAGAAACTCCTTGCATTCCCTCGAAATTTCTGGAAACTCTTAGAATTCTTTCGAATTTTCTACAAACTTCTTGAATTCTCTGGAATTTTCTAGAAGCTCCCTGAATTTTCTCGAAATTTCTTGAATTTCCTTGAATTTTTTTCAAAATTTCAAGAAAATTCTCTAATTATCTCGAAATGTCTAGAAATTTCTAGAATTCGCCGATAAATGGCGCTGCACATAAGGCCCATTTCCCAAAATAACCCCCCATATTGAAACCATAGACGTATCCACGTAAAAAATTTAGTGATCCTCAGGATGAAAAAGTCTATTAGCAATATGTTCATCAATAGATTAAGGCTGGATTCTATTGGATAATAGTTTTTTCATTGCCCTGTGCGTAAAACGCTGTTCACGGACACTGTGAAGAAAAATTATGCTCGTGACCAAAATAAGAGAAAACCCGCCTTGATTTAGGTACAATCATATTGTACCTAGTGAAAATGACTGAGAATTCGAACTTTTTTGTCCGATTTTTGGGGAAAATCTTCTCAGAATAAGTGAAAATGTCAATCATTTCCTGGAGTTTTTTCTCGCTAGATTTTATTACGACAGAATTCTAACGTTCAGGGATTTTCAGTGGAAACTGGAAACTTTCTTTCCCCCGGTTCGTTATCCTAACACGAAAAAACGAAAACTCAAATTATTAGGAAAACAATGCTCCACTGCGTAAGCTAAATATAAAAATCATTGAATTCTGAAAAAATTCAGCAAGAAAATGGTGAAACGAGTCCACTCGACTGAAGTCTACATCAAGTTTTTGATCAATAATATCTTTGAATAGAAGGGAAATGGAGAAGTTTTCATTAAAACTTTTTTTGCAAAGTGAAATTGGATCTACAAAAGAATATATCTATAGAAATTCTGCTAGTTTCGGTTTTAGCAAAACCTCAAACACTAAACTCTTGAACAATGCCGTGTTGTTTCCCTAACAGTTTGATCATTAGATCACTCATGATTGTGGGGATTTCCACGCTGACGAATGGAATATGAAAAAATAGCTATTCGTGATAATTTGATTAGTCTATTCCTATCCCTATTTCTTCATGAATATGGATTTTTTTAGATTTTTATTACCATTGTTAAATTTGTTATTTGTTATTTGTTATTTTATTGTTATCAAGGCCCTACAGCACAAGGCCAATTACAGGATCAAATGTATTCAGTACAAATCTTTATAATAATAGAGTATAACAAAACAAATTGTATTATCATATACCACAATTTACATGATTTATCCAAGATGAGCGAGTTATGGAACAGCATCGATTTAAGTATATTTAGCTAGTGGATCTGTGTTCGTTTAGATTTAAGATATTGGGACGCCTTTTTAACAGTTCTAAAATGTCCCTTAGCTTTCAGTTCAGAGCTATTCAGAGCTATTCAGTAAAACCTCTATTGATAATTATGGAAACCTCCACACTGAGAGAAAAATATAATTCTTCTGACTATATTCCATCACCATCGAATTATAGTCAAAAAGTCTTCAACAATTTTTCATGGGTTACGGTAACTATGGCCCGAGAAGTAATTACTACAATGGAATGTAGTCATTGCAACTATTTTATAGTTCTACTCGCGATAGATTTGTCGTGGTTACTTTTGAACTTTGGTTAGTTTAACTGCATTTTAATTTGTAAAAATTACGCTTGTGAAGTTACCATAATGTTATGTGCCGCATACAAAAAAAAAATCGTATCGTTCACCAAACTGCCTCAACTATTTTCTTATTGTAAATCGAACTTCAGATTTTTCTCTCAGTGCACGTTGATACATCGAACATTGAAGGGATAAAAGCAGTACTAATAGAAAGGAAGGAATAGCAATAGTGTATGATGTTATTTATTTCCATGGATGATAATAGTGGAATAAATAATGGCATGTTGAATGAGTTTGAACAATACTTAATTCATTGTCAAATCGCGATGTTTCATTAAAACGGGCAGAGGACAGCGAGCATATGACACCGCGCCATATGACAGTGACCATGTGACTGATGTCTTATTTTTTTTCGCCATCAGTACATTGATGGTGGGCTTGCGAAGTGAGTGAAATATTACAAAAGTGTAGGGTAAGCTACCCAGTAGATGGACACTGTTCTATAGATGGACGAGTTACTTTTGGATAGGGAATTTTCCTCATCCAAATGTCAGCCAATGGAATTGCACTATTCGACTGTTATTTCATATAGTCCATACGGTATTCAGCTGATAATTTTTGACAATTCAACAGATAATTTTTCATGTTGACTATATTTGTGGAAAACAAAAGATTCCGTGGTCGAGTAAACCCCTGGTTGGAACTGTCAAATGGATTTTGTCTGATAGTGCAATTCTTTTGGCCGACATTTGGATGGGAAAATTCCCTCCCGAATACTACCCGAGCTTCAAAATTAATCGAGTAATTCCCCCAAGGTTCCCTCCACACAAACGAAGTCGTCAATATTATAACTTGATTTTATTATATTATGATAAGGAATATTTTTACGTAGAAAAATTAAGTTCAGTCGCATAGTTTTTGAGATATCGAAGAAAAAATCTTTTCGAGGAATTGCTATATCTCAAAAGCGGCTTGAATGATTGAGCTGAAAATTCGCCCTGATGTGCTCCCAAATAATGCCAATTACTCCACGAAATTTCATATTTTTAGCTAGAACTTTACTCCTTTTCGCTTTCGAAGAGAAACCTTGTAATTGACCGATTTTTCGATTTTCTAATTTTCATTGCAAATTGTCTAGAATGCTATGTAACGTGAAGAAATTGTGTTTTAAGGGTCATGTCTGTGTGTATGTATGTGACAACTTGGGTTTTTGGCGATTAATTTTTAGAAAATTCAACGATGACGCCAAAATTCCCCGCCCCATATTTCCCTGGTCGAAATTCCCCCCGTCATTTTTCTTCCCGACATAATTCCTTCATGTTAATATTTCTTGCGCCAATTCTCCTAACCCCATAATTCCTGCCGATAACATTTCCCGTATGGCGTATTTATGCGGTTTTTTTGAAATTATATATTTGGTTCGTAAAAATCTTTATTCAAATTTTAATAACAGGCAACATGAATTTTATGAAATTGATGAAATTTATCCTTTGTTCGAGGTAGTTTTGTTGCGGGGGCATTTTTTCGCGGGGAATTTTGACACGGGGGAATTTTGACCGGGGAATTTTGGTATGTAACCACTATGGCGCGGTGTTTCATTCCGATCGATCCAATAGTTCCGAGATGTAATAACTTGTTTAAATTTCGTTTTTCCTCAATATCTCAAAAACTACTGCACCTATTTCAGTTATTCTACCTTCAAAATACTCGTCTTGATGGCCTCTATCTGAATCAGCCAAAATATTCATACCCATTCGTACAAAATTTTCGAGATATTTTTCGTTTTTCAATTTTTTTATCCATGTACGCACGATAACTTTAGAAAAAATTAGTAGTGAAGTGAACAAACGGTTCAAGTCAATTCCATTCTAGCGCCAGTTCTCGATGAATATCTCAAACTATAAAGTAGTTAGCAAAATTTTCCTCTTAAAACCTTTTTTACAGAGAAAAGTGAAAACTATCGAAAAATATCTTACAAAAATTTCGCTATCTTTCTTAAATTCCGAATTGTTCAACAAAAGCTCAACTGGGAGCTAACTGGACTTAAACCAATTGACCATTCACTACTGGAATGAAGACAGCAAGTTGAAATTTGGTATGATTATATCTCTTACAATACTAAAGATTGATATTTTGAATAGGCCCAGCCGGCCGAACAGTTTCGGAATTATCTAACCTTTTGTACTAATCTATGTCATTAAAAGGTTGAATATTTTCTTGTAGACACGCTGTAGTATGTGGCTACCGTTGTATGCCTGTCATAAGGACAGGAAATTGCTACGAATCCATTCGGAAGCTTACTACCAATGGAATTGCTAGAAATAAAAAAAAGACACTCATGACGCAAAAAGGAACGGTCGCATGCCTTCACGTATGAAAAAATTGTATAGAAATTTTCTATACAGATTGCGTATGGAAATTCTGTAGGATTTCCGTATATGACATTCGGATATTTCTATACGAATATTTTCTATACGAATTATTTCTATACATAAATTTTTGTTTCCATACGAAAGATGTCTAAACGCTCCAGAGAAAAATGTAGAGAAATGTCGCAACTCCATACGAAATGTTTCTATACATGTGGCACTGGGTCGTATAGGATCGAACCTATAGAAATCGTATAGAAATCATTTGTATAAAAATATCCGTATAGAAATATCCAAATATCGGTTCTAAGTGAATTCATCCCGGACTACTCATCCCAAACCAATTCATCCCAGACAATTCACCCCAAACAAATCAATCCCACGACAATTTCATCCCAAACACCAAATTCCAATAGAATTTTTCATGGCCACGACAATAATTCAGGGAGAGAAAAATACTTTATCCCGATCCTGATAGGTTCGAACTTTACTATCACAGAAAAAGACACTAAACACAACATCAAAATCAATCAGATACTTCACGATTCCCTCCTAGTATTGTTTACACAACCGATCAACGGATTAACAGGAAACATTGCAAATAAACGGTCAAATCATTCTTATCCATCTCAACTAACATTCGCCAGATAGGCCACAAGTAATAGACCACAGCATCAGTTTACAAAATCAGTACAAAACTTGAAAGTTAATCCGATAAGTCACGCGCGTCAGCCACGCGTATTCTTCACCCAAACAGTAATAAGAAAAAAAATACGATGAAAGTGTCGTGGGATGAATTTGTTTTGGGATAAAATTGTTTGGGATGAATTTGTCGGATGAATTATCCTGGGATGAATTAATCGGATACCGTTCTGTCGGGTAGGTTCGAACTCCTACTTGTTTCGTGAGGATTTATGAAGAAATTGGAAAAAATCCGCACATACATAGGACATACGCGTTCTCTGAAAACATCATATTTTCCTGTTTCATAACATTCTACATAATTTCCAAGTGCAATTCTCGTCAAAATGCTCGTCAAAATGGACGATTAAGGATGTTCTACACCCTTTCTGCCAAAATTCACGTTTTTTTAATTTTTCTGGCAAACTTATGATGGAATTGACGTGAAAAAATATACCGTTTTTGCGTTTTGTCATTATTTAATGACTGACGAAATTTTAAGGTGGTGCGAACATTTTCCTGCGTTTTCTCTAAACTTTTAAAAAGAATCACAAAACTGTAGAAAAAACGCATGAAAATTATCGCACCACTACGCAACTTCGTGAGCCATTAAAGAATGACAAACCACAAAATCGTTATATTTTTTCAGGTCACTCCCATCGATAATTTGCCAGAAAAATGAAAACAACGTCAATTTTGGCTAAAAGGGTGTCGAACATCCTTAAAATCTTCCATTCAGACGCAATGAATTGAATTAATATTATTTCAATTCGTCCAGCATCCCATAATGTATTTCACTAATGGCAATACTCATGAAGATTAAATTACTGTCTTTATTCCTTCTCCAATACACGGAGAGAAATGTTCAGTAAAAATTACGGAACTCACAGTTCGCTCATCGATTACGGAATCGACTCAGAAAATTTAAGTGACGGTATCCTGAATCGGTAGCGATTACTTGAATCTCATGTGAAAAATTACGGAACGCTCTGGAAAAATTGTGTAATTTTAGTTAAAAATTACGTGACAGTTCCGTAAAATTTCCTACAACCACATTTCATTCCGGAATTACGGGAAAGATACGTAATTTTTATTGAATATTTCTCTCCGTGTAGTTCATGATCTTGAAGAATTTGTCCCCGAATTTCTATAATTATTTAAAAGAAACTAATTTCTGTATTAATTATGTACTTGCAGATTTGCCTGTGATAATTGTCTGAAGAAAAAAGGCCAAAAGCGCAAAGAGAATAAGTTCAGTGCCAAACGTCTACCAGTAACGAAATTAGGCACCTACATAGAAACGCGAGTGAACAATTTCTTGAAAAAGAAAGAGGCACGTGCTGGTGAAGTTGCTATACGTGTTGTTGCATCTAGTGACAAGATGGTAGAAGTTAAACCTGGCATGAGAAGTAGATTTGTTGAGAACAAAGATATGCCCGGAGAGTTTCCATACAGAGCGAAAGCGCTGTTTGCATTTGAGGATATTGATGGTACTGATGTGTGTTTCTTTGGAATGCACGTTCAAGAATATGGCAGCGAATGTGCAGCACCTAATACGAGGCGAGTGTACATTGCGTATCTTGACTCTGTTCACTTCTTCTATCCAAGGAATTGTCGAACAGCTGTTTATCATGAGATTTTACTTGGCTACCTCGATTATACGAAACAACTTGGGTAAGTATTCATTTTAAGTTCATTTTTATTCGTAGGTAGGACCCAACGGGGGGGCTCTTCTTCACTCATGTGGGCTGTTAGAGCACATCTCAGGCTTTTGCAATAATTGAATGATCGAAATAATTTTAAATAATCGAAAATATTGTTTAAAAAAAACAATTGAAGAAAGAATTTGATGAATTAATTTCTCACATTCGTCAAAGTTAGAATTCATGGGATAAATTATCAAAGATGAAAAATTTTTTTTTTTGGGCTTTTTGAATTTATTTTTCCGCGTTATACTCAGCGCCTCAACTGAAGTTTATTTATACTACTTTAAAGCTTTTCAACTGAATTTTCCATGAGCTCTCATGTTTCATTGAAGATCTTTACTGAATTATTCGGAAAAACAGAATTCTTCGAACAATGTTGGGATATTGAAAGAGAATTTTGTTGATCAAATGGAATATATAAATTATTCAATTCTAAAATTACAGAGGGATCTCATAATTTCTGAGAAGTTTGATACGAATGTTGCGAGCTCCGTGAAAAATGTTGATCTATTTGCTGCTGATTTTCAATAAAAACTTGAAAATTCAATGATTTCACCGGAATTTTGATGATTTTTCATTCTACAAATCAGAGTAATCTTAAATTGCTCAGGCTGTTTACAATCTCCAATGACTTTCCAATGCATTTTACAATGAATTAAATTTGTAGTTCATGAATCAATGATAAGAAAATACATATATCATGAATTTTCATTAACCTGTTCATTGATGATTTAAAGGATATACGACTACTTGGAGTTTTTTTCTGTTCTTTGAAATTCTTTTTAATATTTTAAGCCTCAGCGCCTTTATTCAAGCCAAATCTTGCGATTTGAACTTGTTGCATTTTGAACTGTTGGGTAATATTTGAAAAATCTGAGAACAATTAGAGCGTTCATTTTTAGGAGGATATCAATTAATTATTAAAAAATTACAATGTCTGATACCGACTTTTTCATTAACAATTTATAAACGATGAATTTTCCACCCTCAAATAATTTTTTCGGGATCGTAAAAAATTGGTCGATATTTAATACTTCTCCAAAAAGTTGCTTCAGCTAAAAAAAAGGTTTTCCTAACTTTGGACAATTTCCATTATTTACTTGGAAAAAGCGAAGCTAGAACAAAAGTAATTTGGCTAAAATATGTAAGTTGACAGTCGTGATTATTCATAAATTTCTAAAATGTTTTTTTAAATGAAATTCAATTGAGAGATTTGATTATCGAAAATCTTTGAATGCATAGTTTGAACCATACGAAACTGTGCGAGCTACTCAGATATCCTTAATTTAGTATAGGGGTGGTGGTGAATAATCTCAATTAAAAACACTCTTTGAAAAAGTTCAGAATTTTTTCTATTTTTTTTCATCATTCTATCATAATTTTTGGGAATTTCTACATGATGTACCACTCAATTGACAATTTTAGATTGCGAAAGATAAAAAATATCCGGATAACATTTGAAAGATAGTACACCCGGGCCTTAATTAAGAATTCAATGAGTCATTAACATTTCGAAAAACGAATAAAAGCATTAATTTCCGCATTCCTCTCTACATTCATATTTTCCATTAATCATGATTGATACTTCCTTCGAATTGCATTTCAATGGAAATGTAATTAGATCCAGCAAAAAATTTATGGTATCTTCATTTTTTAATTTGCGAAACAATTTTTTTCAGATTCACAATGGCTCACATCTGGGCGTGCCCACCATCCGAGGGCGATGACTACATTTTTCACTGCCATCCGCCAGACCAAAAAATCCCAAAGCCCAAGAGACTGCAGGAGTGGTATAAAAATATGCTGCAGAAGGGAGAGAAGGAGAGGATAGTCATTGATTACAAGGTACACTAGACTAATTCAATTTATAATGATACGCATTAGTCCCTGTGTTATCCAGTCATGAAATTTTATGGCTGGTTGTCAAGAGGGACTTACATTAACTCCAGACCAAAGCTAATGTTCGATGTTTCCAATGAATTTTGAACACAGGATTGTCTGGATACAAACTCAATTACGTCATTCTATAGATTCATTACATCTGCAGATAATAGTATGTTGCAATGGATTGTTATTGGTTTTCCCCAGTTTTCTGCGTAATTCCATTCATCTTGATTTTTTTTTCGTTGAAAAAATCGACATCTCAATTACGCGAGAGCAATGACGGGTTAATTAACCTTTTTCAGTCGAAAATGCTGATCGAGGTCAGTCCCCTGAACGACATGTATTCATATTTCAAGTACCATATGGTGTTGATGTATTCTTATCATGAAAATTGATGGAAAACTGCAGAGTACACACCATTATTGCAGCTTCACTTGGTGCTTTGCACAATTGGATTTATATTTTTTGTTGTATTCGAAATAATTGAAATCCCAAGTGTGTAATAGAAAACGATCGGCTAATTAACCTTTTTCAGTTGTAAATACTGGCCAAGGTCAGTCTCCTGGGTAATATGTATCTCTGTTTTATGGAAAATAATTTTGTAGCATATTTTCATCATCACAATCGATAAGAAATTGCAGATTACACTGAATTGTTGTAGCTGTACTTGCTCCTTTGAACAATTGGATTAACATTTTCGTTTTGTATTCGAAGTAATTGACATTCCAAGTGTTCAATCGAAATGACAGGCTAATTGACCTTTTGGAGTGAAAAATACTGATCAATGTCAGTTCCCTGAGCAGCACGCATTCATGCTTCATGTAAAATAAATTCGTCACATATTTATATCATCACACTTGTTACTACTTCAATTGCTCCTCTGCACGATTGGGTTTAGGTTAATTTTTATATATGAGGTATTCCACGTCACATGAGTCAATCGCTGACCCTCACCCTCTTGGAAATTAATGGCGATTTTTTCAACAATCGGGGAGGTTGAAAAATTATCTCTCAAATTTTTTCAGATTTTTTCGGCAGCCCAGTTCGGAGATGTGATTTTTTTCACATTTTTCCGTTTTTTCCAATAATTCGAGTTCTATTTGTCCGATTTTCATTTATTAAGCGTCAAAATTTTCCATTTTTTACCGCATATACGACTATTTTTAGTAATTTTTTTTTCGATTCCTAGATGCTCATAATAACGAATTTTCGAAAAAAAAAGTTGAAAAACTTGAATTTCGCAAATTCCGTCACGGTTGATATTCAAATTTTTTTTTTTGTAATTCTCATAATCAAAGCAAGTATTTTGAGCTGTCATTCAAGTTGGGCATCCTCCTGGATCTATGTTATTTGTAATTTTTTCTTTTGGGAATTTCGCAAATTTGGTCAAAACACCACAAACGACTTCGACTATGTATCGAAAAAATATATAATATATAGGTATACAATCAAATTCACTTCATACTGTCTATAATCAAAGTCAATCAACGCCATTTTGAGGTGCTACGACCAAATTTACGGAATTTCGAACCGAAAAAATTACAAATAAAATAGATCCAGGACGATGGCCAACTTGTATGATGGCTCCAAATACTTGTTTTGATTATAAGAATTACTGAAAAAAAATGAAACAGACCATCCGTGACGTAATTTGCAAAATTCAAGTTTTTCAACTTTTTTATTCGAAAAGTCGTTATTATGCGCATCTAGAGATAGAAAAAAAAATTCACTGAAAATATTCTTATAGGCAGTAAAAAATGAAAAATTTTGACGCTCAATAAATAAAAATCGGATGGATAGAATCCAGTTATTGAAAAAAACCGGAAAAACGAAACAAAAATCATATTTCCGAACTGGGCTGTCGAAAAAATCTGGAAAAATTTGAGATATAGTTTTTCATCCTCCCCAATCGTAGAACAAATCGGCATCAATTTCCAAGAGGGTGAGGGTCAGCGGTTGACTCATTTGGCATGGAATACCTCATATTCAAAATAATTAGCCCTCCAAGGGTGCAATAGATGACCCCCCTAAACGACCGACACTGATTTAACACGACTCATATTTCCTCATGGATATGTCCGTTATAATTGGTAAATAACTGCAGCTGATTAAATCAGTGCGATTTAGTATTAATGCAGTTTTATGGACTTACCACGCACTTGGAATTATGTTAATTTTTTTAGTTAGAAAAAACTGACACTACAAGCGCGGAATAGCAAACGAGAAGTAAATTAACCGTTTTTAGTTGAAAGTAGTGATCAAGGTCGGTCCCTTGAGCGCCATATTTATGTTTTCCGAAAAATATTATTCTTAGTAGATATTCCCGATCATAACTGATGAATTCCCAGAGTCAACGCAGTTAACGCAATAAATTATTTATGAATGTTTATTATTTTCATGCGCAGTTGAATTTACGTTGATTTTTTTGTCATTCGAAAAAGTGGACACAACAATTGCGCGAGAGAAAATGAAAGGATAATTAACCTTTATTAGTCCGAAATACTAATTAAGGTCAGTCCCCTGAACGACATGTTCCAAGGTTCTCCATAATTTTGTTTTTTTTATGGATATTTCCCATAAAAGCTGATGAATTTCCATTCAATCCAGTTAACACAACATACTGCTGAATCTTCATTATTTTCATGCGCAATTCAACTTATCTATTTTCAGATAGATATTTCCCATAAAAACTGATTCATTCCCCTAGTGAATCCAGTTAACGCAATATACTGCATCTGAATTTTTATTATTTTCATGCGCAGTTAAATTTATATTGATTTTGTCAACATAATGTGCCTGAAATACTGATTAAGGTCAGTTCCCTCAACGACATGCTTCAAGATTCTCCATAATTTTTTTTTTATGGATATTTCCCATAAAAACTGATTCATTCCCCTAGTGAATCCAGTTAACGCAATATACTGCATCTGAATTTTTATTATTTTCATGCGCAGTTAAATTTATATTGATTTTGTCAACATAATGTGCCTGAAATACTGATTAAGGTCAGTCCCCTCACCGACATGCTTTAATGTTCTCTATAAAATATATTTTTGATAGGCACTGCCCACCGCAACTGGAAAATCAATAGTCAATCCAATCAAAAATACAACTTTTAAAACATTTTTTGACGCAATATACTGTTTTTGCAATGTTATTATCTTCATGCGCAGCTGAATTTACGTTGATTTTTTTGTCATTCGAAAAAGTGGACACAACAATTGCGCGAAAGAAATTGAAAGGATAATTAACCTTTATTAGTCTGAAATACTGATTAAGGTCAGTCCCCTCAACGACATCCTTCAAGGTTCTCCATAATTTTTTTTTTTATAGATATTTCCCACAAAAACTGATGCATTCCCATAGTGAATCCAGTTAACGCAATATACTGCATCTGAATTTTTATTATTTTCATGCGCAGTTGAATTTACGTTGATTTTTTTATCATTCGAAAAAATTGACACAACAATTGCGCAAGAGTAAACGAAAGGATAATTAACCTTTATTAGTCCGAAATACTAATTAAGGTCAGTCCCCTGAACGACATCAGCTGAAATCCGAATCACAAGATTTTGAAATGAATGTCATAGTATACCCAAAAAATTTATAATAAATTATTCAAAAAATCATCTTTCAATTATTTTTAATTAATCTAGGATATTATTGATTTTAAACAATAATCCCAAATAAAAAATGTGTTTCAAAATTCTTCCCTAAAATCACCCGTTGCCCAAACCACTTCACATTTCTTCGTCTAACGAACAATTGTTTCCACAAGTTAACAACAAATTTCCATAAATTTTCTTCCAGGATATCCTCAAACAAGCGATGGAAGATAAGTTATCATCAGCAGCAGACCTGCCCTACTTCGAGGGTGATTTTTGGCCGAACGTATTAGAAGAGAGTATCAAAGAGCTCGACCAGGAGGAAGAGGAGAAGAGAAAGCAGGCTGAAGCTGCCGAGGCAGCAGCTGCTGCCAGCGCAATTTTCTCAATGACTGACGACGCTGAAACTGGCCCCGATGGCAAGAAGAAGGGCCAGAAGAAGGCGAAGAAATCCAACAAATCCAAAGCGAATCAACGTAAAAATAGTAAAAAGTCCAATACCCCACAGACTGGCAATGACCTATCAGCCAAGATATTTGCAACAATGGAGAAGCACAAAGAGGTGTTCTTCGTTATAAGGTTGCACAGTGCCCAGAGTGCTGCAAGTTTAGCTCCAATTCAAGATCCAGATCCAGTGATAAATTGCGATTTAATGGACGGTCGTGATGCATTTCTCACGATGGCAAGAGAAAGACACTACGAATTTTCTTCCCTCAGACGAGCTAAATTCAGTTCAATGTCAATGCTATACGAACTTCACAATCAGGGACAAGATAAATTCGTATACACTTGTAATAATTGCAAGAGCCACGTGGAAACGAGGTACCACTGTACAGTCTGTGATGATTTTGATCTCTGTATTAGTTGTAAAGAAAAAGATGGGCATGAGCATCGAATGGACAAACTTGGCTTTGATCTCGACGATGGATCATCAGCAGCTGATGCTAAACAAACAAATCCTCAGGAAGCAAGAAAATTGTCAATACAACGTTGCATACAGTCCCTGGTGCATGCGTGTCAATGTAGAGACGCCAATTGCCGATTACCAAGCTGTCAGAAGATGAAGAGAGTTGTTCAGCACACTAAAGTATGCAAGAGAAAAACAAACGGTGGCTGTCCAATATGCAAACAGCTCATTGCCCTGTGCTGTTATCACGCCAAACACTGCCAGGAGACAAAGTGTCTTGTACCATTCTGCTCGAATATCAAGCACAAATTGAAACAGCAACAGTTACAGCAGAGATTACAGCAGGCTCAACTATTGAGAAGACGAATGGCTGTGATGAATACACGTCCAACAGGTCCAGTCAGTGCTGTACAGCCAGGCCAACCGAGTACCTCGAACGTTGCTATGACAGCTGGTGTGGCAATGAAGCCTGGTGTAAGTCCAACGAATCTTCCATCACCGCATCAGCCAGGTATTGGCTTGAAGCCAACGACACAAACACCTCCAGCGCACGTACTACAAGTGGTAAAACAGGTTCAAGAAGAGGCTGCAAGACAACAAGCACCACACGTGGGTTATGGAAAAGTCACTCCTGGTGGTGGAGTGGGAGTTGGTGTAGGGGTTGGAGTTAATGCACAAGGTGGAGGAGTGATGCCACCCCCTCAGATGCAAAGGCCAATGCCAGGATCACTTCCCAATGCTGGTGGTACTCACCTTATCTCGATGGACCAGTGGACACCGAGGTACCAACCTAATGCTGTTATGCAGCAGAATCCTGGATTGAGACAACAGGCGCCCCAACAACTGATGCAACAACAGGGTCACCAGGTCCAGCAAGGGATGGGAATGGGTGGACAAATGCCGAGACAAGGTGGTGTCATAGGTGGCCCAGTTGGTCAAGTGCCCCAGAATCAAGTAGGTCCTGCTAATAAACAAGCCCTCCAACAACTCATGGCAACCCTCAGAAGTCCAAGTACACCAGAGCAACAGGGCCAAATACTCCAAATACTCAAGAGTAATCCACCCCTGATGGCGGCGTTTATAAAGCAACGACAACAGCAGAGCGGACAACACGCTGGTGGAGTTGGTCCATTGGGACAAAATCAGCCACAACAGCAGCAGAATACAGCTGGTTTGCAGCACATGATGTCGCAGCAACAGCAGCATCAACAGCAGCATCCACAAGGGAGAATGCCGATACAGGCGATGTTAAATACTCAACAGCAGGGCCAGCAGGGTCAGCCACAGGGTCAGCTTGTGGGCTCTCATGGGGGACAGGTACCAAATATACCTCAGCCCCAGTGGTACCAGCAGCAGATGCTAGCCATGAAGCAGAGACAGCAGCAGCAACAACAGCAACAACAGCAGCAGCAGCATCAGCAACAGCAGCAGGTGCAGCAACCCCAGCAACAAGGCCAGGGCCAACAGTTCACCCAACCCCCTGCACCTCCCTATGGACAACAGAGGCCCATTAGGCCGTCTCACCTGGGCTACGGTGGCTTCACAGATCAGGGATATGGACAGCCTGGCTTGAAACCAACACCACCACCTGTCCCATCGCCCCAAGGTGTCATGGGGCCACCTGGTATCTCAGTACAACAGCAATTAATGCAGTCAGTACGATCACCACCTCCGATACGCTCGCCACAGCCCAATCCATCACCCAGACCGGTGCCATCGCCCAGAAATCAACCAGTACCATCGCCAAGAGCTGGCCCAGTACCTTCACCCCATCATCATCCTGGCCATGGTACACCAACTCATTCACCAGCTCATGAACTTGGTGGACCCAGTGAAATGATGCTATCACAACTTGGTGGTGGTTCACAATCCACTGGACATCCAGCCACAATGCCACATCATCCATCACCAGCACCACCAACAACAAGTGGCGCTGATGCTGGTGATGTAACACCTATGACACCGCAGGATCAACTCTCCAAATTCGTCGAGGGATTGTAGTGACTGTTATCGGTATGACCGGTTATAAGTGATAATCAACGACGAACAAATCAGGATCACGATACTGGTAAAAACCACGTGCTGTGAACACTAATCGGGGGGGAAAAGAAAAAAAATATTTCTATGGCACGAGATTTTAGACAATACGTTCAAATTTTTCATTTTAATCTGTTGAATTTGTGCGCGATCGTTATCAATCTCGTGATCATTGCCCCTTATGTACATTTGTACACTAATTACTTATTACTTTTTATTTAAAGAAACATGAGAACTTTTTTAAACGTAATGAAATCGTTGAGAGGACTGCGCATACGTGTGCCAAGACTGTGTTAACTTCCTCTCGCGATGATAATTTCCGAGCCAAGAGTCAATGCACGTTACTAAATACAATTCCCCTCGCTCCCCCCACCCCCGGTGAACATCTCTGACTTGAAAAGAAGAGTTTATTGGCCGGTGTGATGTAATTAAAGTAAATTTGAGTTATTAAAACGGCAGTATTGAGCTCCTGTTGTTGAATCAACGAACTCTCGGTGTTGGTGAGACGTGGTGCGGCTGGTTAATTTAATTAATTTTTTTTTTTTTCAAGGACTGAATAGAGAGAAAAAAACATGAACTAATAAAATTTTTTAACACAAAATGAGACTATCTCGCCAACTATCCCAACTCCATGAATCTCTCCCTGTTGCTGTCTGTTTCCACCTGAAGATTCATTGAAATGAAGATGGAGATGAGAAAAATGAAAGAAAATGAAAATTAAATTGGAAATAAAAGTTCCTCGCTACCGCTTGGTTGCGGAATCGAGCGAAATCGTACAAATGTGTTGTGTATACTTAACGTTAATTAATATTAATGAAAACAAAGAAGAATATAGTAATATAAAGATGATACGGTGAGGATATTGAAGAAAAAATAAATAATGTTTTTTTGAACACTTCCCGCTAACCAAATCATCTCTGTGACGATAATATATATGCATATATATATAAATATATATATAATGTAAGAGGATAACTGTCTGTTGCGTACGTTTGGTAACGCCAGAGTTTGTAAGGTGCATTCAACTGAAGCCGTTCGTTTTTTTTAAGCACACGAAGAACAAAAACACACGTTTTCTTTTGTGATTTCCATGAGATGATGACGAAATGTATTTTATGTCGCTGCAGTTGAGTATCACATGAGCCCCAAGTGGATGTTTATATCTTGAAAATGTTTTTAATTCTCATCACTTTTAATCCCCAATAGAATAAACAAAGTGAAATGTTAATCCCTCGTCCCCTTCTCCTAAACAATCGTTTCCCTAATTATGTAAATGTGAAAGATGCAGCATCACACGTGTTCATGGGATAATCAACTGATTCAGTAATTTATATGGAGAAGAAAATGATTGATGAGATGATTTGAGTGATTATGAAATAATGTGAATCGTGTTGAATGTGACGAGAGTATTTTTCGTTGATGCCACTGATAAATGTGTGTATAGACCAATCAAAAGAGGAATGAATAATAATAATTGAGGTGGCTAATGCGATTTTGTGAGTGAATTAGTTGAGTGGAACTATTGACGGTTTATTAAACTGATAACCGAAATATGGTGGGTGTTTTAGTAATGTGAGAGAGAGAGAGGAGAGAATTATAAAATAATTGAAAAAAAAAACTGCGCGTAAATCAAATGATGTGTTTGTACGCGCACTATTTATCCCTACACTGTACATACAATAATATTATCACGATAATAATAATTATTATTAATTTACCTGCCTATGATAAATTTATTGATTATCCATTATTAATTATTGATATGAAAATAGGATATTGTAACGTTTTAATAAATAAATGAAGAAAAGTAAGAAATTCAAAATGGAGGATTTACACGCGATTGAAATTCAATTATTATTGTAATATTATTATTATTTTCATATCTGAGGATGTGAGGCTAAAACGCTACGTGATTATGCCAGTGCTGTATCATAGAGAAAATACTTTAAATGTATTGTTTTTTTTTCTTACCATTTTATTGTTTTTTTTTCTCTACTGACATACCTATTTAATACTAATTATTGAAGACTCGTCGGTAATTCGTCCATCGTGTTGAACGAGAAAATCGTGTTTTTTTTTTCTCAACTCGTGAAAATAAAGAAAACTTCTCATTTTGATGATTTTTTATTTTTCTTTTCATTTTAAATGCAGCTCCTTCAATTACATTCTACAACGTTTTTCCATGGAAATTGTAGAATAAAAATTGATAATTGTAAAAAAAAAAGTATAATGAGAAGACAATTGAACGCCTCCAATCAACTGAATCATCTGAATTCATGTTCTTACTCTGATTGTTGAAGAGATAAATAAGATTCGATAACATGTATTTTGTAAATATAAACGCGTGAGAACAAAAAGGGCCAATTTTCCTGATATAAAAAAAAAATGGTGGGGTTTTACTTGGGACGATTGAATGTCCATATGACAGAACGGTGTATTTTTCATCGGTATATTAACGTGAAAATTATGAGTACGATTGAGTGAATATAACGAGTGATTGATCATTGTAGAAAAGTGAATAATGAATATGACAAACATGAAAAATTTTTTAAATAAACCCAAAAGTATTTGGCTTAGTATGGCTGTGTCTAGGGCAGTGTTGTAAATCTGAAGATTGGGGAGGTGTGGGTGTTTAGATATTCAGTAGATAAACTGTTAAGGAATAATGGAGAATATGGTGACAGAAACGAAGGTTCGAATGCTACGCGTACCAAAGCTGTACCACCGTATTTAATAATCAATATACGAAATATACGATGCAGGGAGTTTTGAGTGAATGATGAAGAGGTGATTTTTTTTATCATCACTGATGTTCTTTCCTTTTTTACTCCGTCAATGTGTCAGTGCATTGATGTTGGCCTATACTGTACGTAAATATTGATAGTTTATTGATTATCAAATGGCAATGTGTATCGATATTTCCAGCATCAGTGATGGGTAAATAACGTATGCCTATTGTTCAGTCAATTCTCCCCCTAATCTTCGTTACCTCGAGGATTCTCCATCAAATCCCACTAATACTGACGTCAAAATCATGGATTTATACTTAAATGCGTTGGTACACGTAGCCTTTGTGGCAATTTGCTATTATATTAACTAGAGGTGATTTATACAATGCTATACAAATATATATTATACAATTGTTTTCCTTCAGCTCTTACTCTATCCCTTAAAAGCGTCTTTTTTTATATTATTGAGAGAATTGTGGAGATAGATGACAATGATCTATTCGTATGTGTATAATAAAAATAAAAATTTGATTATTGATTAATTATTCAAATACAAAATGACAACGTACGTATTATAAATACAGAATGACGAGAGATCGAGGGAAATTAATATGGAGAATATAGTAATTAATTACCATTATTATTGAAATACCGAATATAGAGTAAATAATTTTTATTATGACTCTTTCGTGAATAGTGATATAAATTATATGATTAAAAACAAACAGATTATTAATGAAAATGTAATGTTTATTGCTCGCTGGGGAGAGTTGACAAAAAGTTCAATTTCTTTTTTTTTCTTTTGTTTTCTTGCAATGACCCATTGATTATTATTTCTATTTTTCATAGTATATTTTTCACACTCTTCATTTTTATTTTCACTTTGCAATATATATTTCACTCTCACTCGCATCAAATCGCGTTTTTTCAATGTTGTAAAATAACAAAATGTGTGTGTAATGTATGTTTAGTTAATTTATTACTTTTTCCTGCATTTGTCGCTTGGGATTTTGTCAATCAAAAAAAAAAAAAATACGAGAGAGAAAGATAATGTGGGATATATAGCGAGAATGTTCTAGCGGTGAACGGGAAATGATGGCCAACTCCCGCGTTTCTACCCTCCTGTTCCTCAAATTATCTATGTAATAACTTTTTAATGGTTTACGTTTCAAATACAATTGCATATAAATATTAATCACGTTTCCATGTAAGATTCCTGTCATCATAAATCCCTAAGGTGTTTTTTTACGGGGAGTCTGCTGAGTTTTTGGGACTTTGAATTAAGGATTTTTGGTGTTATCTGTACATTCCATCCGTGCAAACAGTAAAAATTACTCTTGTAGATAATTTTAACGAGTATTTCGGATGTAAATTGTTGAAATGACATGCGCTAATTTGTAATTGGTGATCAAATGAATTCTGTTACTAAACAATCAGTCAATTTCATGGAAATTTTAAGCAATCTTTGTTGTTTATTTTCAATCGGTTTTAAATTGAATGCAATATTCAAATTTCATCATAAATTAGAAGGATTTAAGTTTATCATTGAATCATTCATGTACACTAACAGAAGATTCGAACTGAAAGTTCAAGTAAAGATTGCTAAGCGATTTAACAAGTGATTGAAGTCTGAAAGACCAACGGAAGTTGAATTCCCTTTTATATGCTGGTCATAATGCCTGGAAATTATGAAAATTCAGGCGACTGTTGCCTTGAACAGTCAAATAAAATGAATTCTATTGTTGTTTTCAATCTATTCAAAATTTGATTCAGTCGTATCTTCGATTTTCGTGATGGAAACAACAAAATTTTGGTATCCTGCACTAGACTATTTGTTTTGTGGCAGGTATCGCCACAAAATGTTGTGCAGACTCATAGAAACTTTTGAGTGAAAATTTGTCAATTATTGAACAATAAAAAAATATGAAATTTCAATGAATTTGCGTATCGAAAAAATCGGCGTATGAAAAAATTTAGTAGAATAAGTGAATTCGCGGGACAATTCTATTGGATATCTATTCAACTTTTTTGGCCGATTCTGTTTAAATGTTCAATGGAAAATATTCCATAGAATAAGTTAATAGAATTTGATTTTTCTATACAATTTATTCTGTTGACATATTTTCTATAGAATTTTCACAGCTCAAATTTTTTAAGTTTTTTTCATTTTATTTTTCTTTTTTTTTTATCAAGAAAATCAGATAAAAAAACTTCAAAAAATTGAGCCGAAGAAATTCTATAGGAAATATCTCAATAGAATAAGTTGTGTAGAACAGTCGAATTCTATTGACTTTCTATAAAATATTTTCCAGTGAAAATTTCAGTAGAATCTGCCAAAAAATAGAAAGTTCAACAGAAATCCAGTAGAATTTTTACCGAATTCGCTAAATTTTTCTAAAAATCATATTTCAATTTGGCAAGGCAATAAAATTTTGAAAATATCATGAAAACCCAATCGACTGCCGCCGTGAATTTCCAATCAGTTCAAAATTGAATTCCATTCAATAGTTAATTTTCACAATAAATTTGAATCTTGAAGTTTTTATCGAAACTTCTGCGTGTGTTAAATACACAATAATTATCCATGCAAGTATCACAAGGAATATCGCGTGCACTGATGGAAAATAAAAAAAAATCAAGTCAATATTCTCGAAAAAAAAACTTTTCATTCAATCCTTATGAAATTGACGGATTTGTCACTAAATAAATTCATTGAAAATTGGTATCCTACACTAAACTATTTGTTTTTTTAATGAGACTGCTATTTTAGAAGGCAAACCGTCAAAAAACAATGATTTTCTTCACAGATTATTAATTTTTTTCTTGCTCAACAAATTCAGATAACATGAAAATTCTCAACCCAATGGCCCAAAATTCCGAGAACTCATAATAATTCCCCTCCATCAACACTGTACGTATGAAAAAATTTAACAGATAAATTTAGTGAATTCGCTAGACAATCCTATAAGATTTCTATTGAAATCTCCATTAGTTTTTGCCTAATTCTATTGAGATATTTTCTATAGAACATCCTCGGCTCTATTTTTCCAACTTTTCTATTCAATTTTCTTCATGAAAAAAACTTGAAAAATTTGAGCCGAGGAAATTCCACAGAAAATATCTCAATAGAATCAGCCAAAAACTAATATAAAATCCAATAGAAATCCAATAGAATAGTCTAGGGAATTCGCTAGGTTTATCTACTAAATTTTTTCGTGCGTGTGCATCACTCCACTTTGGGTTTCATTCCAACCATATTTCCACAATCAGTAAATCACGAAAGTCTCACCGAAAAATGTCATCATAATCACTGCCTGATTGTGCGAAAGCCACCTTTTCTTCTGAAATAGAGCCAAACCACTCACTATCCCAAAGCATAGCGAATTGTCACGAGTACCGCGAGTTTCTGAATCAACAGCAATGATTGATAAATCATCATCTGGTGGTGGCACCAGTCATTCTCCCGAAATATCAATGCTGAGTACTCGAATACTGTATTATCAAGTTTCTTTGCCAGGCGATAGTAGTGTGCGGATGAGGAAGGATGTCACAGAGTCCCTTGGAATCGCGGATGTAAATAATTTTTTCAAACGAGAATATATGCATAATTATATGTAACAAAACATATTGAATAAATTAATTGAAATAAAAAATTATATGCTGATGTGCGTAACGCATAACTCTGACATGAAGCGCTCAATGTACAGATACGTGGTAATTCTTCTCGTTCTTTGTACCATGAAATATTACCTAATGATAACATAAAATAAAGAATTAAGGTATTATACAAATTATTCATTCAATCGTCTACTCGCAAGATGATACTTCTTACAATTTTATTTTTACAATACTCTTCACTTATTCATTTAAATATGTTCATTTGTCTCAGAGCCTCGTAATGATTCACAAGAATCAAAGTGATTTACATCGAAATATGAACAGAAATAATGAACTATTTTTGTTATTCGTCTGTAAAGGTAGTATATTTATTTGTATAAAAAAAATCATTGATTCGTAAATGGTTATCATTACATTTATAATTATGGATAAAACGTATCGTCACACCGATTAATAAACTCAAGTGATAATCATATCCGAGTGATTATACTATATTTTAAAACAATGGAAAATGAAATAATAAGAATGATAAATCAAAGACGTGTTTCGTGTTAAGGCTTAAGATTATTAAAAATAGATCAATTGATTAACCGAATCGGAAGTGATGTGAGTAATCGTGTAATGAGGATAAACAGATGAAAATTAATCATTTCGAATTCAAGAATATCTCCGATTTTTCATCTTGTTTTAATGTTCAATTTATTCGCTGTTCAAATCATCCAGTTTTCCATCGCGGTTCGCTTCCAAAGAGTAATTGTAAATTATTATTTCACTCTAATAGAATTCATACTGATTCATATATTCTCATTGAAAAAGATAAAATAACGCCGAAAGCCAAACTATTACCTCGTATTTAATATTACTGTAATATAGGCAATTTATAGGAAAGAGATTTGTTGAAAAAAATGAGAGAAATATCCTGTCGCATTGACAGGCTCTTCCGCACTCTTTGGAAGCTCCTTGTGGCTCTGAAAATGCAGATGATTTCTTTCCCGTAGATGTTGAAGAAATCTAAATCGTAAATGAACAAAATCTAGACAAAATTAAAAATAACGAGAGAAAAAGAGAAAGAGAGAGAGAGAGAGAGAGAGAGAGAGAGAAAAAAACGTTCGGTTTCGCTCTAATCTCGAGAACATGAGCAATACAGAACTATATATTATAAATATGCGTTAATTATTGTAATGATATATTACTAGTCCACAGACCGAAATGAATTATAACAACAGTATAAATAACGAGACAAAATGAATTATATGAATTTAATGATAAATGTAAATGTAAGATGAACGTTATAATTGTGTATAAGAATATGGTGTTGTGGACAATTTTGGAGTGAAAAATATCCAATGTGTCCGATTTATGGAGAATTAGGGAGTAATGCGTAATACTGAGTAAGATCAACTAATTAAATTACTCGTAATTATAGTTCGTGATGAGGGAAGAGAAGTTATTGTATAAGGAGTAAACAATTATTACTGTACAATTCACAAGAAATCACTTATCGATAGCTGTCTGCAGTAGTAATATCGCCAAGGCATTTATTGATTTTATACAATAAACTATGCAAACTTTAATTGAGTTTATGTCAATTTATGGAACCATTAGGATTTTTAGTTTCGAGGGTGATTATTAACCATAGTCTGGTCATCTAACGGGAAAATGCGACTTTAGTCACCTGCGCGGGAGAATGCCGCCGTATTATTTAGGCTCCAGCGTTGCCGAATCCACTCTATACTTCCCGGGCGCGTTTAGCGAGTTCCCAGCAACGTCGCGCAACAGGCAATTTCATTTAACACGGGAAAAAATTGTTCACCTGTTGGAAATAATTTTTTTTCTCCCAGAATTAAGGATACAATATTGAAAAAAAAAATACTAGAATTTTCCAGATACTTCAATTGACGAATTCAATTTTTCTCAAATTTTTCCGGTCAACCAGTCGATGGCAAAGTGAATAAAACGACGAAGCGGCAATATTGCGGCAATTTCCTCGCATGGTGACCAGTCTAGGGTTAATTTTTATCAGATGATGGGGAAAATTTTGTTGGAAGTGTGACATTTGGAGGTTTTCGATGGGTTAATGATTAACCCGTTCACCAAAGAACCAACAACCAACGATGAAAATCTCGCGTCGCCAAGTTGACCGTCACTCGCGACCAGGGATTCCCGTCAATATTAAATTTCTGTAATATTACAAGGATTTCACCGTTACATTATTGAAGGCTTAAAATATGTTGATTCAATTTTTCAAATAATATAATAATCTGATTTTTTACGAATAATGATATATTAAAAATTTGTTAATATGAAACTGTAAATTTACTACTAATTGGATAACTCAAATTTCTCGAAAGGGGATTTTCGATTATACAAGTAATCGTCAATCTTCCTACCTCAAATTCTTGATTGATAAAATAGTTGAAAATTTGAAAATTTCAACTGATGATACTTGAGTACTCAAAAAATTTCAAGAGTGATGTTATCTAATTAAGGGCTACAATATTAACCGTAATAAAATATTACAAATTTGGCTACCCCTGCTCACGACAACTCCTTCGGTTGAGAAGGTCCTTGAATTACCTCCCTGGTTTAAAAATAGAATGATAATATAATTGATGTTACTAATCTGTTCAACGTCTACACGACATGAGATATTAAAATGGGTCCAGCGTACGCTGCGTTAAGTTGGTGCAAATATTCAAAGTTGTTCTCGAGGGACGACCGACTGTTCTGTTTCGCCTGTTGCCGTGATCTGCCGTCATTTTGGGGCTACAACTCGTTGCTAATCAAACAACGCAAATATCTAATAAGCATTCTTACGGTTTTCAGAGATTACACGTATGAACAAATCATATAGAAATTATCTATACGGATTGCGTATAGAATTTCTATGGTATTTTCGGATATTTCTAAACGGATATTTTTATACAAATTATTTCTATACGATTTCTATAGGTCTGATCCTATACGACTCACTGCCACATGTATAGAAACATTTCGTATGGAGTTGCGAGATTTCTCTACGTTTTTCTCTGGAGCGATTAGACATCTTTCGTATGAAAACAGAAATTTATGTAAAAATTTATGTATAAAAATAATTCGTATAGAAAATATTTGTATAGAAATATCCGAATATCATGTACGGAAATCTATAGAATTTCTATATGCAATTAGAGATGCAAACGCGTCTCTGGTGACCGTCAATGTGACCGTCAATGACGGTCACATGACGAGGCGTTCATGACGGCTGTCACAATTCCCCCTCCCCCTTCTGTGACCGTCACAAATTGTCAAGAAAAAATGACAGTCATTTTTCATCTATATAGATGAAACTTTATTTTTTTCTCGGTGAATTTTCAGTTGAATTCCTTTTGTATTGACCTAATCCGCATTTTGAAATGGAAATCACTTTTTTTCCATCCATATAGATGAAACTATTTTGTTTTATTCATGACCGTAACAAATTGGAAATTAGTTATAACCGTCATTATGCAACTATATAGATGGTTTGACAACAATTTGGTTACAAATGATTTGTGACAATCGTTTGTAGTTGGAAAATTTGTGCGTCACATGACCGTCACAAAACCGTCATTTTTGGTCATATGACGCCATCTAAAAAATGACGGTCATTTTGCATCTCTATATGCAATCCGTATAGAAAATTTCTATACGATTTTTTCATACGTGAAAGGTAGTCATGCTTTAAGACAGTCTTCAATACAAACAGTATCTGGACGGAAACTGGATTCAAGTGTCACCGTGAGACTGCTTAGGTAAGGTAGTCAACATCTAAAGAAACTGAAATTCTTGCAGTTTCATGGAATTGAAATAAAACGGAAAATATTGTATTTTAAAATAAAGTAACTGACGTATGGACTAGTGACTGTTCATACGTCACAGAAGTAATATGCGATTGGGAAAGAGGAGGGGTAATCAGGATCGTTACGGTGTCTTTTCATTCAGAACAGATCTCTTCGAGAGGAATTAATGGGAGAAGAGGGAGAAAAATGTTTCTTCTACTCGAGAAGATCTTCGATATATTTGGCATTTCGGCACTTGCCTGTACAAGAGTGAGAGGATAAAGCGATTAGGATTAGAAGAAGATATTTGGCATCCCTTCTCCTCGTTCTTTAGCTGGCATCGTTCGGACCGGGGCCGGGAGTGTTCCAGTTCAGCTACAGTCTGGAGACACGATTACTCCTACGGAAATTTTCAGTAAATTGATCCGTCAAACTTGAGAATTTAAATCCAAAAGACTGCGTTTGAATTTTCATCTCTATATTTTTTTTTCTTCTCGTATACCCTTTCGGGTCTTTACGATTTGTTCCCTCCCCACAAGTCTTGTTATTAGAATTTCCATAGAATTTTTTCCATTGAGAAGCACTTGCATATGATATTTGTGAACGTAGCATGCTTCTCTATGACCAACAATGATTCTGCGTTGGAATAAAAAAAAAATAAAATAAAATAAAATTTATCAGAGGAGAGAATAAAAAACTCTCATTCCTTTCAAACAATTGATTTATTCATCTATTTATTGTGTATCGAGGAACTTGAGACCCAACAGTATATGAAACGAATTACAAGGCTAAATTATTACATATATAATCCAGTTACAAAATTCGGAAAGTTGGAATATGACGTGAACATGTTTCCACCGTATCACGAAATACATTATAGAAAGAGGCTCACACGAAAGAAAAACCTCAATTATCAATTAATTGTCGATCATCTACCAGATAATAATAAAATTATTTTATTGAGCAAAGTTATTTTCATTACTGTGGGGAACAATAATGAGCCTCAATTATTTTCGCGCAATTCAGGGCTGAAACATATCCAGACGATTATCGCACAAGCGGATTCGTGAGAGATATTTCCACTTATTATAAAAATCTGTTGATACGTGAAGTTAAAAAACGGATAGTACCCTTAAAATTAGTAAAGTAAGTTGAATTCTCGACATTCTGATCATTAAAAATTCGATGGAACTCCAAACTACCTGTGAAATCACCATTTACTGATTGTAGACTTCATGCATAATTTCTCGGAACCTTTGCCTTTCCTCATTATTCACCAGTACCACCGCCATAAACTTGTCACGAAAATCTTGATTCGGGAGAACACTGAGAGAGTATTGTGACGAGAGAATTTTGCAGTACTCTCCTATGGCAACCAAACATTGTCTCCTCCAGTCACCTGGGGATCCGGCCATAATAATTTTACAAAGTTGAATATCTTCTGAACCGAACATTAATCCCGAAATTTTATCTGCTATTCCATCCATGGTTCCAAATTTCTCACAATATAGCCTCCACAGTTTCTCACAAGGTACATAATACTTTGCATACAGATGACTCCGAATTTGTCTCCTTGTGAATTCTTCAATTACAGTACTCTGGTCCTTCCTTCTCTGTACAACTAAGGTCCTGAAAATAGTAGCAAAGTGACATCTGTCCATGATTTGAAAATGGTGGATCCAACTATCAATGAACATCACCCACGGCCAAACCAACAAATACGACCATGGACCACAATCCATGGTATTTCCAGGCAAATAATTGAAGTCTATTGCACTGAGTAGATAGACTGCGGTGGAAATACTCTGAGTTTTGAAAAAACTTCCTTCTGACGACAGTTCCAGTTGTTGCACATCAGTTAGTTTGTTCCAGAAGTATTTAACCGCCGAAAGACTATCAGAGGAAACACTGTCTTTGAATAAAATACGATTTATATCATATCCCTCGTAAATTTGCGCTACCAATTGATTCTGGAAGTTTAAGAAATCCTGTCGTGAAGCAAACATGCTCTCCGTTGGATAGCTGCCATAAATTTTTTTGTACCAGAAGATTGTGATTGTTGAGTCGAATCTACTTTCGCTCCAATCGACCCTATTAGCAAAATCTCGCATGTACTCTATGCTGCAGAATTCACACAATTTAGCCCAGGTTTCATAATCAATCGATTCCTGGTTGCAGACTTGTAATTCCAAAGTCTTCTTGGCATCGGTACACCCAATATGATCCCAGACAGTATGGTTCATGACAAGAAATATTTCTGCAACTGCCTCCAGATGCTTCTGATGATCATTGTTGACTGCGTTATTGAAATCCTCTCTCCAAGATGAAATTAGAGGTGCATACATCTGACAGAAGAAAAGGCTCAAATCATCGTTTATTGTCTGTGGAAGCATGAAACTATCTGTGAAAGTGTCGAATTTTTGGAGTACAAGACACAGAAACGTTGTCAGTGACAATTTTGAAGTGTCGCCTTCTTTGTAGATGTTGTTGAAATAGTCCTTGGTCTCGACTTCAATTTTGGACAGTCTCCACAATACGTGAACTGTCTGTACAGTTGCCAGGAACTTCAGTGATAAACTGTTGAAAAACCAGGATGACATTATTCAAATTGATTGACTTATTTATTCAACACTCAAATGGAACTGTACCAGCACAAGTATGAATTATTGAGAGATTGGTTACAAGTGCGACGTGATAGCTGCGACGAGATTCGCCGTTTCTTAGGGTGGATTCAAGGTTTTTTTTAAAGAGCTGGCGATGATCGCAGCCTCTGAGGTTAGCCGCACAGCCATTGGTTTGGATTCAAGGTTGCCCAGAGGAACAAGGTTACCGAGGTTGGGAGAATAGATTTGTCGCTGGGCTCTATCTCGAGTCTCTGATTGGTCAGGTCTGCAGCGTTGGAACCTGAACTTTCCCAACCTTTTTGACGGATCACTCGATAGGGGGTTCAAGTTGTTCAGGCAGTCGAGTGTTAGTCGATCAGGATTCGATTGATCGACCAACAATCGACGAGCAATCGACCAACAATTGACCCCCGACGGTCGATCGACTAACCATCGACCAATACTCGACCATCGACCGACTAACCTAAACCCTCTACTAGTGCTCAACCAACGATCGACCGGCCATCGACCGCCTGAACAAGTCGACCTCCTGTTGAGCCACCATCCAGGTTGGGAGAATAGATTTGTCGGTGGGCTCTATCTCGAGTCTCTGATTGGTCAGGTCTGCAGTGTTGGAACCTGAACTTTCCCAACCCTTTTGACGGATCCCTCGATAGGGGGTTCAAGTTGTTCATGCAGTCGAATGTGTCGATCAGAATTCGATTGATCGACCGACAATTGACCAGCGACCGTCGATCAACTAACCATCGACCAATACTCGACCATCGACCGACTAACCTAAACCCTCTACTAGTGCTCAACCAACGATCGACCGGCCATCGACCGCTTGAACAAGTCGACCTCCTGTTGAGCCACCATTGAGGTTGGGAGAATCAATTTGTCGCTGGGCTCTATCTCGAGTCTCTGATTGGTCAGGTCTGCAGTGTTGGAACCTGAACTTTCCCAACCCTTTTGACGGATCCCTCGATAGGGGGTTCAAGTTGTTCATGCAGTCGAATGTGTCGATCAGGATTCGATTGATCGACCAACAATCGACGAGCAATCGACCAACAATTGACCAGCGACCGTCGATCGACTAACCATCGACCAATCCTCGACCATCGACCGAACAACCTAAACCCTCTACTAGTGCTCAACCAACGATCGACCGGCCATCGACCGCTTGAACAAGTCAACCTCTTGTTGAGCCACCATCGAGTAGCAGTCGATGGATCTGTCAGGGCTGGGTATCTAGTAACATTGGGTGGATTTTGATTCCCCGCTAATCTTAGCGACTCGTCTCATAATTAGAGATGCAAATGCGTCACATGACGTCTTATGATGTCAGTCAAAATTCCCTCGCCACCTTTATGCCCATGATAATTTGTCAAAAAATAGGACAGTCATTTTTCATCAATATAGATGCAACTCCATTTCTTCTTTATCAATTTTTAGGTGAATTCATTTTGTATTACTGCAGGTAACTTTTTCATCTCTATAGATGAAACTTTTTTTCAGTGATGACCGTCACAAATTAAAAAGGAAAACTGTTTTTTCCAAAGGGAAGAGAAATTTTGGCCCGACTATGATTCTGTTTACGAACTTGTTTTGATGTTTGTACTGTCGGTCTGACTAGTCCGTTCCCTTGGTTTCCAGAGGCGTTCCATACTACTTCGATCACATCGAAAGACTTTTTTCAAACTTGACGGAAGAATTGAATATGTTGTCGATTTATTCCATGCATACCTTGGATGGTTATTGAAAAGAATTTTTTTTTCTAAATTATGCGAAATCGAAATTTCAGGTTGGGCCAAGTGCGTTTTTTTTAAATTATAACTCGAATATGAATTTTATCAAGGAATAATTTTTTAAAAAGTCTAAAGTGCCCGTTTTACCACACCCTCCCCTATATGGAACACACGTGCAGTGTTGCTGTTTGATCATTAGCGATTAGACCAACGAGAGGCAAGTGTGCAATTGATTGAAATATTGTTCGCAATATTCATTGAAGAAATTCCCGAAAAAATGTATTGAACACTGAAAAATTCGAAAAAGTATTGGCGATGGCAAGATTTTCGGCAAAACTGAAATCTTGTTTGAAAAAAAGTTGCTAATTTGAACGAAGTACTTGGATGTCCTTAAAACGAAAACATAAAAGTTGTTAAATCAGCTGATTTATCAGAAAAGGGAATAAGAAACTTTGTCATTCCTTGCAAGCAATTGATTTATTCGCTTCTTTATTATGTATCGAGGCTTGATACCCACCATCATGGAACGAATTACAAGGCTAAATCATTACATATAAAATCTAACGTGGACGTGTCTTGACAATATCATAAAATACATTACAGAAAGAGTCAAATACGAAAGAAAAACATCAGTTATCAATTAATTGTCCGTTATCCATCACATAATTATAAAATTGGATTATAAAATTGCGTTCAAACATTCCTACTAATAGAAATGGTTTGCTTGAGAGATCAATAATATTGAAAAGTACATAATACCAATAATCATTTGCGAGCAAAGTTATTTTCACTACTGTGGGGAGGAACAATGATCCTTATGTATTTCGAATCCACAATTCCTTTGAAGATTCTTCGCTCCCCATCAATCGCCAGTATCTCTTCCATAAATATCTCACAGAAATATGCACATGCCATGTGTTGTATCGATGGTCGGTGCAAGTTCGCAGTATCAAATTATCATAACTCGTTGCATCCTTTATAAATGTCTCCCTGTCACTGCCTCGAAGAACGTTCTTTTTAATGCTGAAAATCATCGAGTATCAACAATATATTAATTCATTTTTTATTCATTGACTTATATTCCTATACTTATCATTGACTTATATTCCTATTCATATACTTATTAAACGTCAAAATTTTCCATTTTTTACCGCTTATACAAGAATTTTTGTAGTACAATTGTTTTTTAAACAAAAATTGAAAAGCTGAAATTTTACAAATTACGTCACAGTTGATTTGCACAATTTTTTTTTCAGGAATTCTTATAATCAAAACAAGTATTTTGAGTCATCATTCAAGTTAGGCATCCTCCTGGATCTATTTAATTTTTAACTTTTTCTTTTCGCAATTCGAAATTTCGCAAATTTGGTCAAAACACCATCAAACGACTTCGATTATGTATCGAAAAAATATGTAATTTATAGGCATACAGTCAAATTCACTTCATACTGTCTATAATCAAAAGTCAATCAACACCACTTTAGGGTGTTTTGGCCAAATTTGCGGAATTTCGAAAAGAAAGAATTGAAATTGAAATAGATCCAGGAGGCTACCCACCTCTTATGATGGCTTAAAATACTTGTTTTGATTATAAGAAATACTAAAAAAATAAATGAACCAAATCAACCCTGACGCAATTTGCAAAATGCAAGTTTTTCAACTTTTTTCGAAAATTCGTTATTATGAGCATCTAGACATCGAAAAAAAATCATTAAAAATATTGTTATAGGCAGGAAAAAACGAAAAATTTTGACGCTTAATAAATCAAATTGGATGGATAGAACTCGAGTTATTGAAAAAAAAACGGAAAAACCAAAATAATATTTCCGAACTGGACTGCCGAAAAAATCTGAAAAAACTTGAGAGATAGTTTTTCAATCGCCCCAATCGTAGAAAAAATCGCCATCAATTTTCAAAAGGGAAACTCTTAAATTCCTCTCTTTATTCTTTATTTTTAAAGTTGATGAGAGCCCTGATAAAATGTAATAATTATAAAACTGAAAAATCAATTATTTGAAATAATAATAATTCTTTTCAGTAAAATATAATGATCTAATAATATAAATAATAATAAATAGTAAATATAATGTGCAGTTGGTGAAATGAAATATTGTTGTTCTTCATTAGAAAAAAAAAAAAAACCTATTTTACTGAAAAGAATTATTATTATTTCAAATAATTGATTTTTCAGTGAAAAATCAATAAAAGGGCGGCTAAAGACATCAATGAGGGCGACTCTCATCAGTTGACTGATTTGGCGTGGAATACCTCATATCGAAATTAATTGAAAGACTTAATTAAAAAACTTTATTGAAAGGGGCTCCCACTGACCGGAGAACTCCAAACTACCTGCAAAATCACCATTTACTGATTGTAGACTTCATGAGTGATTTCTCGGAACATTTCCCTTTCCTCATCATCGACCAGTATCACCTCCATAAACTTGTCACGAAAATCTCGATTCGGCAGAATACTGGGAGAGACATGTGACGAGATAATTTGGCAGCAATTTCCTACGGCAACCAGACAATCTCTTCTCCAGGCACTTGGGGATTCCTTCAATATGATCCTACACATTTGGATATCTTCTGAACCGAAAATTAACACCATAATTTTCGAGGCTGCTTCATCCAAGGCCCCAAATTTATCACGATAGAACTTCCATAGTTTCTCACAAGGTACATAATATCTTGCATGCAGATGATCCCGAGCTTGTCTTTTAGTGAATTCTTCAATTCCTGAATGCTGTTCATTCTTTCTCTGTACAACTAAGGTCCTGAACATTTCAGCAAACTGAGATTTGTCCATGATTTTACATTTATCGATCCAACTGTCAACGAACATCACCCATGGCCAACTCAGCAAACACTGCCATGTCCCACAATCCGTGGCATTTCCTGGTAAATAATTGAAGTTTATTACACCGAGTAGATAAACTGCAGTGGAAACACTCTTAGTATTGAAAAAACTTTCTTCTGCGGACAGTTCCAGTCTCTGCGCATCTGTTAATTTGTTCCAGAAGTATTTAACCGCTGCCAGACTGTCAGATAAAACACTCTCTTTGAATAAAATACGATTTATATCATTTCCCTCGTCAATTTTCACTTTCAAATGATTCTGGAACTCTAAGAAATCTTGAGGTGAGGCAAACATGCTCTCCGTTGGATAGCTGTGATAAATTTTGTTGTACCAGAAGATTGTGATGGTCGAATCAAATGTACTTCCTCTCCAATCGACCCTATCAGAAAATTTCCGCATGTACTCTTCACTGCAGACTCTACACAAGTGAGTCCAGATTGTATAACTAATCGATTCTTGATTGCTGAGTTGCAATTCCAAACTCTTCTTGGGATCCATACACCCAATATCGTCCCAGACAATATTGTTTATGATTTGAAATATTTGTTTAACTAACATCGGATGCTTCAGATGATCTTCTCGGACTACGAT